ACCTCGGCCTCCCAACGTGCTGGGATTACAGGCGTGAGCCACCGCGCCCGGCGCAGGAGGTCATTCTTAACCTCTCCTTCATCATCCTAGACAATCTCACCCATTTTTTGCCTCAATGTTGAACTCTATGCATCAAATTTTGTTCCTCTCTATTGGCAGTATGTTTTAAATAATTTTTAAAATTAAAAACGCAGATCTGATCATGTGCTCTTGAAATCTTTTAATAGCTTCCCATTTGCTGTGGGAAAAATCCATACATGTACAACCTGCATGACATTGCATAAGCTGATTCCAGCCTTCCTCTGTTGCTTTCTTGCAAGGCACTTTTTCCCCCATGCTCTATATTCTGTGATACATTTTCCAATTGTTTGTGTGGGAGTGATAAACTTTTGTCTGTTTCCTCTACCTGAAACATTTTTTTTTCTGCTATCTCTCTCTTAACTGATGCCCACTTAGAAATCTTATCTTCCTGGGCAGGCGCGGTGGCTCATCCCTGTAATCCCAGCACTTCGGGAGACTGAGGCCAGAGGATCACTTGAGGTCAGGAGTTCGAGACCAGGCTGGCCAAATAGTGAAACCTTGTCTCTACTAAAAATACAAAAATTAGCTGTGCGTGGTGGTGAGCGCCTGTAATTCCAGCTACCCTGGAGGGTGAGGCGGAGAATTTCTTGAACCCAGGAGCTGGAGGTTGCAGTGAACCAAGATCATGCCACTGCACTCCAGCCTGGGCAAAGAGCAAGACTCTGTCTCAAAAGAAAACAAAACAAAATAAAAACCAAACAAAAAAAGAAATCTTCCTAAGGAAGACCTTTCCTGATGAAATAGGCTCATAGTAAGATCTCCCTGTAACCAGTTTCCCATATTGTTAATGGCAGTGTGTTTCTTGTTCCTCACTAGTGACTAGTCAGTGCTTAAGATATATACAATATTTGCTGAATGAATACATTTATATTTATTGCTGCGTGTAGAAACTAATGTGATTATATATACATACATATATATATATATATATATTTTAGACGGAGTCTAAAATTTTTTAGACAGAGTCTCATTCTGTTGCCCAGGCTGGAGTGCAGTGGCCTGATCTTGGCTCGCTGCAACCTCCGCCTCCTGTGTTAGATTCTCCTTCCCTCAGCCTCCCAGGTAGCTGGAACTACAGGCGCATGCCACCACGGCCAGCTAATTTTTGTATTTTTAGTAGAGACAGGGTTTCAGTGTCTCTTGTTGGCCAGGCTGGTCTCGTACTCCTGACCTCGTGATCCATTCACCTCAGCCTCCCAAAGTGCTGGGATTACAGGCGTGAGCCACCATGCCCAGCTGATTCTATATATGTGTATATATATATATTTTAAGAATTTTTATAAACGTAAATGTTGCTAAATAGCAAATACTATGTTTCTTTCTTTTTGTTTTTTTTTTTTTTTTTGAGAGGGAGTTTCATTCCTGTTGCCCAGGCTGGAGTGCAGTGGCACGATCTCAGCTCACTACAACCTCCGCCTCCCAGCTTCAAGAAATTCTGCCTCAGCCTCCGGAGTAGCTGGGATTACAGGCACCCACCACCACGCCTGGCTAATTTTTTTGTACTCTTAGTAGAGACGGGGTTTTACCATGTTGGCCAGGCTGGTCTCAAACTCCTGACCTCAGGTGATCCACCTGCCTCAGCCTCCCGAAGTGTTGAGATTACAGGCATGAACCACCGCACCCAGCCAGTATTATGTTTCTTTAGCACCATTTTGTGAATTTTTAAAATGTTAATGTTAATCTAATTATTAATGGTATGTTTTTACATGGGAATATAAATTCAAAGAGTCACTTTTTCACTGAAGTGCACAAAGAAGACAGTTGGGTATGAAATGTACCTTTACATTATGATTCTGGCTGCGTCTGCCATCTACTGGACACGTCATGCTGTTGGCTTTTAAGGTTTCTATTCTCAGTCAAGGTGCTCATCCAGGATTCTAATAGGATTTAAAATTTTTTCTATTTTTAAATCATATTATAATTGATGAGAAATTGATATGTTTTTTTAACTGTATTTGTTTTAGACTGGTCAAGTGAAGCAGTGCGAATGGAGAAGCAGCAAATCTGTAACTGGTTGTGATCAATTAGTTGTGAACACCACGGCACTTGGGCCAGCCTTTACTGTATTTAAAAAAAGAAAAAGAAATGTCGTAGCAGTTTCCGTGTTACACACACTTTTTTTTTTTAACTTTTAAGTTCAGGGGTACAAGTGCAGGGATGTAACACAGGTAAACTTACGTCACGGGGGTTTGTTGTACAGATTATTTCATCACCCAGGTATTTATCTCAGTACCCATTAGCTATTTTTCCTGATCCTCTCCCTCCTCCCACCCTCCGCCCTCTGAAAGGCCCCAGTGTGTGTTGTTCCCCTCTATACACATACATTTTTATAGTGATGTCACAAATTTGGTAGACAACTTTTTTTTCCCCAAAAATCATTGTGCTCCTTTGCTTTTAAGATACCTACAATTTGGAATGTGATGCATCCTCGACGCATCAGTCTGGACATGCCTAGTAAATGATCTGCAGTGGCTGTCTGTCTAAAGAGTACTTCAGGGACAGCTCCAGAACTGCACTAGATTTGGCCTCAGCATCCAGGTCTAGCCTCAGCTCTTTGTAGGGTGGAAAAACAGCAGAAACAACTTCATCTGTCAGGGCTTTAGGAATAGCAGATTTTTTTCTGAATTAACTGAATTGAGGTTCTCAGAGGCCACCTGCTATCCAATTGCATCCCTTTGATCAAAATAAGAAAGAATTTAATCTGCCATTTACATGTACCAAGAAGGCCTAAGTGCAATTAATAGCAGGTGTCTTCTAATGTGGCAGTCTCAATCCCTATAAATAGGGTTGTTTGAGTTAGCAAAAACAAACAAAATACCAAACCAAAACAAAACCCAGGATATTCAATTACATAGAAATTTCAGATAAAAACAAATCATTTTTGGTATAAGCATGTCCCAAATATTGCATGGGACATTCTCATACTAAAGTGTCCTGAATTGTATCTGGAAACCCTAATATAATTCACAAATATTTAAAGGGCTTACTATCTGAAAGAAGAGAGGTGAGAGGCAAGAGTCTTGGTACAAAGTGAGCAACCTATGTTTCTAGCATAGAAGCTTTGCCTGGGACAATCTTGATAATAGGCCACTTAGTTCCAAAAATGTTTTGCTTTATGAGTATTGTTTCATATGACCAACTTGATCAAAAATCTCTACCTAGAGTAGTTTTAACTCTGGGAAAATTTGTTTTTTGATAAAACGTCCTAGCCAGGTGCGGTGGCTCACGCCTGTAATTCCAGCACTTTGGGAGGCCAAGGAGGGCGGATTGCTTGAGCTCAAGAGTTCAAGACTAGCCTGGGCAACACGGTGAAACCATGTCTCTACAAAAAAAAATATATATATATATGTACATATGTATATTTTATATATACACACACAGAATATACCCATATTCAGAAAAAAATATATATATACACACACACACACAGAAAAATTAGCTGGGCCTGGTGGTGTGTGTCTGTAGTCCCAGCTACTTGGGAGGCTGAGGTGGGAGGATCACCTGAGCTTGGGAGGTCAAGGCTACAGTGAGCCATGATTGCACCTGTGCGCTCCAGCTGTCAACAAAATGAGATCTTATTTCTTTTTCTTTTTTTTTTTGAGACGAAGTCTGGCTCTGTCGCCCAGGCTGGAGTGCAGTGGCCGGATCTCAGCTCACTGCAAGCTCCGCCTCCCGGGTTCCCGCCATTCTCCTGCCTCAGC